TCGTTTAATCCAATAGTTTGAGAATCAGGTAAATAGATTTCTTGAGTATTTAATAATCAAATTGTTATATTCTATTGAAATTATACGAATTTCTTTAAAAACGATTTTTTAAATAAATAATTTAAAAATATTTACATACGTGTTTCCTTCAATATTAAATTTTTTTAATCTTTAAATCGGTCAATTTCGAAGTCACACACAAGAACCTAAAAAAAAAAAAAAAAGAAACAAATCCTACAAATTATTCTGCGAATAAAAAATACCAAATTAGACGTAATTCTTAAATCTTCAGATCCCTTACAGTTGGATCTATCGATCTAAGTTTACTTACAACATTCAGCCTCTTCGATCATCCAACCCCGATAATTCGTTAAAAATGATTCGTCTAGCTGTTATCCATACGTTTCACCGCCTATAAAAAAAAATATGCCTCATAATGCAGGCGAGATATTCGTGTATTTCGTGTCTCTGAATTATGGAAATGAACCATGCACAAGATTGGCACTATGCACTTCCATAATCACGGTCAAGTTTCCTTTACCAAACGGATAAACGATCCCTCAAGGATCACACAGGTTAGGGATACCGAGGATAATATCGTGTTTATAGACGATTTTGAGAATTGTTTGCCGATAAATATTCGTTTGAAACTGAATATTCGTTCCATGCCTGTGGTGAGATTCTTTTAAATTGAAATACGTATTTTTTGAAAACAGTAAAACCTTAATGCCTCCTATCCTTAAAAACATATAATATTATAAAATTATAATTATTAAATTATATATTAAAAATAATATTATATAATATTATAAATATGTAATATTTAAAACGATTGTTGACGGTTTATTAAGCAATAATAATTGTACGAATGAAACAATTTTTAAATATCTTTCTTTATTCTTTTTTTTTAATAAAATTTAGATAAAGAAGCTTATAAATCGATGAGAAAAAATGAGACGTAGGAAGAGAAAATCGTTTGTATTCATTTTTAGTGATCATAAATGAATTTCAATATATGTTGTTACTATATCAATCTGATAAATATGAAATTCTTTGAACAATTCATTTCAACTATTTAGAATTATCTCGATTATCCGATTGTTATTCTTTTGAAATCAACATAGTTTTGATATTAACATTCATTCAAATTCAGAACGCATTTTTTCCACGGAAAAAAAAAAAGAAGAAGAAGAAGAAGAAGAATCGATGAATTTCATATTAACATTCGTTCGCCAATAATCCCATCTATAATTCATCGAACTATGCAATTACCTTGGTTTCGTCTTGCGACTTACTGCAGGGAGAATCATTGCGAAATTGAGCGGCGGCGGCGGAACAAAATGACCGCCTATATCACCGAATTGTCCGACATGGTGCCGACGTGTTCAGCCCTGGCCAGGAAACCGGACAAATTGACCATACTCAGGATGGCGGTCGCCCATATGAGAAACCTCAGAGGTGAGTACCTTCCTCGTATTTAGTAGTTTTTTCTTCTCTTCCATTCGAAGGAAAAGAAAAATCTTTGTTAATTTCTTTTTTTTTTTTTTTTTCTATCAATTGTTCTTCAACAAATTTAAATTTCCCTCCTTAAAGTGTTACAATTATATAATTATCACGGAGTTATCGTCTAAATCAATTGTTTCTATTAGTTTCTACTAGAATTTTATTCGATTAATTAACGATTATTATTGAAGATTTCCCTCCTTAAAGTGTTACAATTAGCATCACGAAGTTATCTACTAGATTCTACTAGAATTTTATTCGATTAATTAACGATTATTATTGAAGATTGAATAATAAAAAAAGAGTAATTAGGATAATATATTATAGAGGAATATAAATTTTTCGAGAGATAATTTAGTGGATTATCGATATTTTATAAGTTAATTATTATGAACAATTTCAATGGACACCCCCGATATTCTCCAGCTCCGTATCGATAGCCACGAGGGAATCGAATAAACTGTATTCGAGCGTAATTCAATCGGTCAAAGCGAGTCAAAGCGTAAAGATCGCGTTGCCAAAGTTATTTTGCTGCTCGTGACGGATAACTCAAACAACGACGATGCTTAATCGTCACGTCCCGCATTGAACTAACTTTGTGCCTTATCGGACGGCCGGCGACTCGTTGAAAATGTATATTTCCATGTCAAAAACAATTCTGCACATGTAATTCTTTCGAAAACAATGGGTTGCGCTTTAACCTTTCGATATTAAACAAAAAATCTCGGGAATTATGTTTCCTTCCATTAATTATTCATAAAATGTTGTCGATGATTAATTTGAAAGAAAAAAGAAAAGGAAAAATTTCTCCTTCAAAAAGATAAAAATTTGATCAAAGATTCGTAGTAATACATTGTTATATGCATTATAGTTACAGTTAATCAAAGTATCGAAAGATATACAATGTAACTAGTTATACAAATATTGAAATTGAATTTCAAATCAATTTTTATTCCTCTATGAAAGCTGCTCGAAGAATTTTTTTTATTATTTATAAAAAAATCTATCTACAATTGTATCCATAAATAATGTTGCAATAATTTAATCTTATATAAAAATGACACGATTTCACGTCAGCAACTGCATCATATTAAACTAATCCAACTACTAACGTAACCTTGTAATTTAGACTCTGAATCATTATTTAGAAATCCGGTCGTTAGCTTAGAACATTAAACTCATTTTCCCTCGAAAATGCAGATAAAAATTGCGTATCGCAACGACTCTTATAACTCACCTCTCCCCCCTTTAAATACCTCTCCAATAAACAGATTCCAGGCTATCGAACCCTTCACTCGAAAATTACAAAAATCAACTCGCTATCTCATCTGATAAACCTTAAAAACACCTAACCTAACCTAACCTAACCTAACTCACAACAACAATCTTTCTACGTACACTCTGTGAAAAGATCGAACAACAGTAGTGTACAACACTTCTATCATCTCTCCTATCATCCTATCATCGACAACGTTCTTTCCACTGTAAAGGGGATGTCCTCCCGGGGAGGCATACACTCGCCACTCTCTCCTGCCTCTTGGAGGATCCATCCGGGCAGGATGGAGGAGCAGCAACACCGGAACGGTCGTAATTCACCGAAGGTTTCGTCGGGTCATATCGAATGCAGAAAGCGCGATATATGCTTCCGGTGCAAGAATGGGTGGAGTTGCCCCGTCGGCTGTCCCTTTAGCCCCGGCTCCCTTCCTCGTGCTGCGTGCACACACGCGGTCATACGACCTCTCCTTACCCCCCTTCGCCACCCTTCGCTCTCCTCCTCTTCTCTTCCTTCCTCCTTAGGTGTGCCTACCTTTACGCCTCTCTTTCATCGTTCCACCGCGATCTTGGATATGTGTATATACATATGTATATGTGTACATATATATATATATATATATATCGGTGTGCGTGCCGTGATTCCAGCTAAGTATTGGTGGTGCGTCGCATTGTTTATAGCCACTTCTCCTCTTTCCCGACAACAGGGCCGCTGAATACAAATTGCTCGAACCGGAGAGCTTCTCTCCTGTTCTTGCTCGTCTCGGCCTCTCCTCTCCTCTCCTCCTCCTCCTCCTCCTCCTCCTCCTTCGCCTCCGCCGCTGTCTTTACCTGGAGAGGAGAGAGGAGAGAGGCGATCGCCTCCGGGATACGTCGCGCGCGTACACCCACCCTTCGGCCGCGCGGTGCACCCGTGAGACGTGGGACAGACGCTTTTCCGTCGAGTTTTCCCTGCTCCTCTTATATTTTTCTTCTCTTCTCTTTTCGCTTTTCAAAGTAGTTGCTTCAATAGAAATTTTAGGATTTTTTGAGGGTTTTTTCTTTTAAGTTAATGCGCTGAAAATTGATAATTAGTAGTTGTAGACACTTTTTCTTATTCTTCTTATATTTCTTCTCTTTTCTTTTTTCAAAGTTGCTTCAGAAATTTTCGAATTTTTTAAGGTTTTTTTTTTTAAGTAAATGCGTAGCAAATTGATAATTAATAATTATAGACACTTTTCCTTGTTCTTCTTATATTTCTTCTCTTTTCTTTTTTCAAAGTAGTTGCTTCAATAAAAATTTTTGAATTTTTTAAAAGTTTTTTTTTAAGTACGCAGCAAATTGATAATTAGTAGTTGCAGGCACTTTTCTTTGTTCTTCTTATATTTCTTCTCTTTTCTTTTTTAAAATAGTTACTTCAATAAAAATTTTTGAATTTTTTAAGTAAATGTGCAGCAAATTGATAATTAGTAGTTGCAGGCACTTTTCTTTGTTCTTCTTATATTTCTTCTCTTTTCTTTTTTAAAATAGTTACTTCAATAAAAATTTTTGAATTTTTTAAGTAAATGTGCAGCAAATTGATAATTAGTAGTTGCAGACACTTTTCTTTGCTTTTCTTATATTTTTTCTCTTTTCTTTTTTCAAAGTTGCTTCAGAAATTTTCGAATTTTTTAAAGTTTTTTTTTTAAGTAAATGCGTAGCAAATTGATAATTAATAATTATAGACACTTTTCCTTGTTCTTCTTATATTTCTTCTCTTTTCTTTTTTAAAATAGTTACTTCAATAAAAATTTTTGAATTTTTTAAAGATTTTTTTTTAAGTACGCAGCTAATTGATAATTAGTAGTTGCAGACACTTTTCTTTGTTCTTCTTATATTTCTTCTCTTTTCTTTTTTCAAAGTAGTTGCTTCAATAGAAATTTTTGAATTTTTTAAAGGTTTTTTTTTAAGTACGCAGCAAATTGATAATTAATAGACACTTTTCCCTGCTCTTCTTATATTTCTTTTCTTCTCTTTTCTTTTCTTTTTCAAAGTAGTTACTTCAATAAAAATTTTCGAATATTTTAAGTAAATGTGCAGCAAATTGATAATTATAAGTAGTAGTACTAGTTCTAATTGTAGTCTTGTTAAAACTAAGAGTTTATGAGATTTTGATCGATATAAGTTTGATGTGTTTGCGAATATATAAGATGGTACAAACAGTGGTTAAAATTGCGTTTCTTTTTTTGTAAGAATTGACTCGTACATCGAGGTAAATTTCTATTTCAAGATCATGTCTTTTTACAGAGATAAAGGTGATTTTTGCTTTTGTAATATTACGTCATGTCATGAAAAATGTTTAATTTATAACGACATAAAACTATAATATAACTATTACGACCTAAAGCTATTTTCATAACTGATTACCAATATTATCGATGCAATATTACGTCTGTATAAGAGACTTAACCGATTGTTGTCGATGAAATACACCTTTTTTATAAACTACGATTGATTTACGTTCACATAAAATTACGTTTCTTGATAAAATGTACCCGCTTACGCCTCTCTCGTAATCTATAATCGATTCACGTTAATGTAAAATATTATAACCCCTTCGTAAAGTAAAATTATATCTTTTCACAAGATAACAGAAAATTTAAAGATGTAAATTACTGTCTACGAAGATATTAGTCTCGAAGGGAAGAAATTTTATAAGAAGCAGAAGAGAGTAATGACGGGGTTTATTGATTCTTCTTAGAGTTTTATTTTTAATGAATGATTGGTTAATGAAAAATTGTTTCCTTGAATCGATAGATCGTATCAGTTTCCGGTGTCTCTACTGTACAAGAATTAAATTCCAATGGAACTTTATGATAACTAGAATTACAATTTACGCTCTGGTAATTTTTTTTTTTTTTAATTTTCCTTTTAAATTAATTCATTCGTTTAATTAATTACAATCAATTTGGATATGTCAGTCTGTAAATTTATAAATGACCAATCATAATTTCTCTACTCTTATTTCATTATTCCTTTAAATATCATATCATAAACATTTCATAATGTGTTTAATTGTAAGAAATACGAAATCACGAAATATGTATTAATTACCATTTATTGCATTATACTTTATTGTTCTACAATTAAAATTTATACCAATAAAAATTTCACATAATACATCAAACATTAATAACTTCAGATCAGAATTTCTTAAATTAAACTTATTCGTTCAAATATGAATCAATATAAACATTTTCTTCCATCAAATTGTCCTATCTTTTAATTAAATTCTACTCAATTAAACACCAAATTTTATTACAAAACAAAAACAAGAAAATAATAGAAAAGCGAGGAAATCGTTCCCAACCCGCCATTAAATTTTTCCTAAATTTTTCATCGTGTTTCTTCAAAATATAAATAAAAAAAAATAAATCAACAAGTCACTGCTGCAAGCTCCCCTCAAATTCCCACCACCGTTCTCTCTTCCTCGACGTAACGAAAAAAACACCAAGGAAAAAGCCCTTTCTCATCCTCCCCAATCCAAAAGTAAAATCAACCCTATAGACGAAAAACAAGAAACGGAAGAAAAGATTTATCGCAATAAAACTGGACGCCACTCGGGGATCGTGTATCGTTAGATGGGTCAAGGGGAGCATCTTCTTTCGATGGAAGGAAATCGAGTAGAATCACGCCGGCATTAATGTCCATCGAAAGACCGTTCCACTACGTGGAAGGTAATGGTAACGAAGGTCACCCGGGGTCTTCCATAGATCTTGTTTGGAAGTCGTTAAAGTACCTCTTCCCGGAATTTCTCCGTATATCGGGGTAAAGATCGCATCGCCCCCTCTCTCTCTCTCTCTCTTTTCTCTCCTTCTCCCTTCTCTCTCTCTCTCTCTCTCTCTTTCTCTCACCTTTTGCCTTTTGCTCGCAGGATCCTGTCCGCTTTGCAATTCCGATCTTGCACCTCGATAGTTACCTACGCTGCTGAACTGCCCCGTCCTCATTTTTGGTACCGTACCTCCTTCCTTCTCCCTTCCTACTCCCCTCTTTCCTCCTTTGAGTTCGTTTGTTTGTTTGTTGGTTGGTTGATTTGTCGAAAGATTTTCTTTGTGTGTGTGTGTGGGTGGATGGGTGGGTGTTTTTGTTTTTGTTCCGGATCTGAAAGTTTTGCGGATCGAAGATGATCTCTCGTCCGATTTGCGAATTGATGAAGAATTTATTGTTCTGTCAAGTTTTGGGAATTCGGAGAATATTCGGGAAAATATAAATATTCGTGTATACCGAATATTTTCAACGGATTTTCGATGATTATTCGAATTAATGTGATAATCGATGATTTTTATTTGCAACAGTGAGTATTTTGTTTTGAACAAATGTTGAAATGATGATGGTTTGAGTTTGAAACTACGGTGATTGGTTATTTTTTAATTATCTATTTGATCTGATTTTTAATTGAGCGTGTTAAAAATCGATTTTTAAAATTCTTGTAACCAATCGTTTAATAAAATCTTAGGATTCTACTCTTCTGAATAGATATTATTATTCTCAACATGAGATTTCATTAAACTGGGCACACTTGAAAAAAGAAGATGTCCAGTCTACACGTGAAGAAGTAGTAACACGTATCCCTGAACAAGCATTCGTTTCGCTTGAAAAGTGTTCCTCGTTACATGTGCATTCGATGTCGGACAATCGGGTAGATCACTCGATCGATACGGACGTCAAACGTAGAAAAGTTCAATCTCTGTGAAACAGAAGAAATGGAAAGCATGAAATTAATAGTTATTTTTTTTTTTTTTTTTTTTTTTTTTTTTTTTTTTTTACTGAAAACCGTAAGAATTAATTTTAAATCGAAACAAATTAAATAACCAAATCTCCCAATTATCAAAATTAAATGAATATGAAGAAAAATATGAAATTCTCTTTTCAATTGGCATAAATTAAAACAAAACTGTTCTATTTTAGGAACCGGAAACACAAGCTCAGATGGCGCGTACAAACCCTCCTTCCTCACCGATCAAGAGTTGAAACATCTGATTCTCGAAGCAGCGGATGGCTTTTTGTTCGTAGTCAGCTGCAATAGCGGAACGATCATCTACGTATCCGATTCTGTGGCGCCAGTTTTGAACTACACACAAAATGATTGGTACGGCACCAGCCTCTATTCACAGGTTCATCCGGACGACACAGAGAAAGTGAAGGAACAATTGAGCGGTGCCGAGCCGGAAAATGGAGGCAGAGTGCTGGACCTGAAAACGGGGACAGTAAAAAAGGAAGGACAATGTAAGTATATTTTTTTTGTTCTTTAAAAATTTGCCTTCTTTTTTCAAAAAATTGTTCTAGAAGAATTCCATCGTATTATTAAGATCGAACCAGCCTCGTTCTAAATTGCATCAAATTTCTTAATATCGCATTCATCAAATTCTAATAACTAAATTACTATAATAATAATAATACTTAAATTATCAGCTAATTACTATTGAATTATATCGATGCTCTATAATCATGGAGAATACCAATACCAATAAATCACAACTATTTCAATTAATTATCAAATTTCCAAAATTACGTTAAACTAACATAACCTAACTTCACAGCATCGATGAGACTATGCATGGGATCGAGGAGAGGCTTCATTTGTCGCATGAAGGTGGGCAACATGCAGACGACAGGCGACATGGCGGCCGCTCATGGCCTCCATCACGTAAAACAGAGGAATTCGCTCGGTCCACCGGCCCGCGATGGCCAAAATTACGCGGTGGTTCATTGTACAGGGTACATCAAAAGCTGGCCCCCAAACGGTAAGTTCGATACGGGTCGCGGCATCGATCTACCTTGTTCCGAATGATGAGGATGATGATGTACATAACGTCGTCAACGTATAACGGGTCCCGGTCTGTTGATGGCCGCGCGCGAGACGTAGCGCCAACTTTCTATTTTAAAGCCGAGGGAGACGTCGGCGTGCACCAAGAATATGAACGAACCAGGCGGCTTCGTAGAATACACGAGGATAACGACGTTTGTACTATAAATTAAGGGGGCCGGCACTCGGTGGCGAGCACGGATAGTATGATCGGTTTATAAAGAATGAATGGAAACGTCTTGACCTAACAGCCGACAAGAATGGCTGGAATACCGATAAACTATGTCGAGACAGGGAATTCGTATACCTTATCCGCGGACCCCGATGCATAATAACGATGCGAACGATTTTCGCACGTTTCCGCCTTCGACTCTAACTCTTTCGAATTTTATTCTCTCGTCGAGTTTTTGCGGTAATATTCTATTTGTAAAAGGAATTTGTTCAAGGAAGATTTTTCACTTGCAAGAAATAATTTAAAATAATCGTTAAAATTGATTGTAAATTTTATACACGTGTTTAACGGAAATGTTTATCAGAAATTTTTATTTTGATTGTACAAAATTAATCGTATAGAATCACGAGAAGAGTTATTTTTGAAGTTAAATAGATTTATTACATTATTATTTCATCGCCATCGAGCGCTTCGAAATACTATTTTAAGGAAAATTTTTTCAGAGAATTTATATTTAAAGAATTAAGATAATTTCAAGATGGATAGAAATTGAATAAAATTATCTGATGTAAAATTTGAAAAAATATTAATGCTAATTAATATTGAAGTAGAATAATTATCAATGTTCCGATTCCATCCATCTTAAATATATAGCAGCATGTAAATCATAATCATTTATCGATTATGAGGAACCATGGACTGATTTATCGTTTTACGCTGTAGGTGATTTTGTTCCCCCATGTGTACCAGGTATGGGACTAGCTGATAGAGAGGCTGCCGGTGTTCCAGTTGGACCTGATGGTGTAGTTACAGACGAGAATGTTAGCAGTCACTGCTGTCTGGTTGCCATTGGGCGACTACAGGTCACTAGCACGCCAAATAGTAGCGATTTAGCGGGTTCAAATAGCAATAACGGTAAGTATGAAGTGTCCTCATTATCAAACAAGAATATTTTAAATCAAGATTAATTAATTCTCATTCTCTGATGTTTCAGAATTTATTTCACGTCATTCAGCAGAAGGTAAATTTACCTTTGTAGACCAAAGAGTCGGAGGAATTTTAGGATACACACCTTCCGAGCTCTTAGGTCATCCGTGCTACGAATTCTTTCATCCTGAGGATTTAACGCATATGCGAGAAAGTTTCGAACAAGGTAAAAATTTCTCAAAAGAATGAAAATTAATTGTACGCATGTTCCTTATTGTTAATAGGTATCTATTGTTACAGTACTAAAGCTGAAAGGACAAGTGGTGTCTGTAATGTATAGATTTCGAGCCAAAAATCGTGACTGGGTATGGTTAAGGACGTCTGCATTTGCATTTTTAAATCCGTACAATGATGACGTTGAATATATCGTCTGCACAAATACACATGCCAAGTATGAATCCGTTATACCGGATATTAAATAGTTTATTTCTTTTATTTTGTATTATGCAGATGTATTCTTCAATTTTAACACGACCACTTCATCCTTATTTTTCTTACTTATTTTCTTTATTAAATTTTATAAAAATTAAAATTTTTCTATATCATGTATGATTTGAAGAATTGTGATCGTGTTAAATAAAAAACGAAAATAATAAATTAAATCATTTGTATCATTTTGATTTCAAGGTCATTCCATCCTGGTAGTGATGGTCAAACAGAAAATGAAGCTGTACCTGCTTATGGACAACCTGGTTTGGATTATTCCCTTCAAAGACATCCTGCTAGGGATCCTCTTTATTCTGGGCATCATATGATGCAACATCCAGCAACTGTTGCTACAGCTGGTAAATTATTTAATACAAACTAATAATATACAAAATATTATACAATGTAATAATAATGTGCTAAATTTTATATTTTTTGTCATTATTGTTATTATTATTAAGTTTACAATTATATTACATTAATATAATCATAAATTCATTAGGTCCCCAGCAGCCTAGGCCGTCCAGTACACAAAATGTTTATCAGGGATATGAAACAACACAATCGCCTATAGCTTACGGCTCACCTGGTCAGCAAAGTGCATCTTCATCAGTTTTAAGTAGAATTCAAAAACCAGCTAATACATCGCCAACTCCAGTACAACAAGCATGGGCTATTGGAAGACAGGTAAATATATAATAATAATCTAAATTATGTTTAAAAAAATATTATGGAAAATGACTTTATAATATTATTTATTATATTAGCAACCTGTAACAGAAGGATATCAGTACAATCAATTAAGTCCTTCGAGGTCACCAAATGGACCAACTTATACTCAATTAAGTAGCGGTGCTAGAACACCGGCTACGCAATATCATGCAGTCACAACAGTACCTAATAACCCTGGTAATTTTAATTTAAATAAAAAATTATTTATCTAAATATTCATTTTATTTAATCTTAACAATAAGAATAAAAAAATAAATAATATTTTAGGCATGTGGGGATGGCAAAGCCAGCAACATCAAACACCTCAACAAGACGGTGGACAATCAAATCCTCAAGTGACTGGACAAGCGCAACAACCTCATCCTTCTCAAGCTGGACCTGGCACGCAACCTCAAGAATTATCAGATATGTTACAGATGCTACAAGATCAAGGTGGAGCATCTGGTTTCGAGGAATTAAATATGTTTAATACTAATTTCGAGTAGCGACAACAAAATAATATGGAAGATAAACATCTACCTTAAAAGAGCTTTAAGGTTCGAATTTCATTGATAAAAGGATTGTTTCGTAAATCACTCTTACTTCAGCATTTAATGGTGATATGAAAATTCGCCAATCAGCACCTCATACATAAACTTTAATTGAATTGACTAATTTACCATTCATCTGACTTTTATAATTAATTTATGAGTGCTTCCGTTTTGCGAGAAGTTTCTATTTTATTGGTTTACAGTACGATTTTAATAACCGTATCAAAGTTTGCGCAATTAAATTATTCAAAATTCGTGAATATCATTTTGCGAAAGTGCCATTAAATGTTCTATTTAAAAAGTAGAATATATAAAGTGGAAACTTATAATACGCACAGATGGATCATTTGATGAAATTTAGAAAACTTTTAACGAAATACGAGGTTTTTAGCATTTGATATGACAAATAACAGAATAAAATCATTTTCAACAGGAAATTAATTAATTTATATTTTTAAGTTTTTCTCTTTTTTTTTTCTTGTAATTAAAATATAGATTAGTATTGAACGAATGATTGTAAAATTCTTTTTTTTATCATTTTTTTCTATTGATTTAATCTTAAAATAGAAAAAACAATTTAAAAAAAGACAATGTAAATTAAGAAACGACTTTTTAACTCTTCTCACTGTTAAAGAAAAAAAATGCAATTATAATAACGTAAGTTATATTTAAATTGTATATGAAGTTTCAAGAACGATAAGATAATAGAGAGTTTCATATGAAGTTTCATTGAATTGTTGTTAAATGAATGTAAGTATATGTATAAAATTTTGGATAAAAAAGAAAAGGCAAAAAATGCGTGTAAGATTTATAATTGTTTAAGAAAAAGTGATTCTTCATTAAAATTTTAAATGAAAATGTATCGGATTATATGTATTTTGTATGATTATTATTACTTTACATTTTTATAGAATTTTAACGCCTCATCTGTGCTTATTAATAAGTAATAGAGAGTAATTTCTCTCCTTTTTACGTAGCGATTTTATTTCAAAGAGGAAACTAGCATACTTCGATAAACATTTAGAAAAATACATTCAAACGATAAGAAAAAAACAAAAATAAAACAAAGTATTTTTAAAAATTTCTTAATCAAACTTAAATATAAATCATGGTAATTTTAATACCAGCTTATGATTAGATTTTTAAGATTAGCTTAGTTATTTTATTTTAGATCTTTGTAATTATAAATAGTGCAATCGTCAAAATCGACGCTGAACGAAAAACATTGTTTGAATTCACCAACAACAATAATGTACAAAAAGTTATATGTAATCCACTTTGCTTCTCTGTGCAAAAAAGGCAAACACCATTTTTAGATATTTCTAAAGAAAATATAGATAATGTTACACATACAAAAGCATAATTGCATTTATAAGTAACCGCGTGTGATTTAGTGCATTGTAGATGTACATGTCTAGCAAATTCTTATTAAGTAGAACGAAAGAACAGTTGCAGCATATCATGATGAATTGGGAACATTTGTCACTAATATATATAAAAATTTACATTACACGTATAATTCTTTTTAATCATCCTTTGTCGAAAGTAGCTACGATTACTGACAATAATTAACATATTGAAGTCGACGAAGGCATCAATATGTATAACGTAATTAATTGATTAAACTTCAAAACATACTTGTGAAGCATTCTATAATCCTTTCTCCTTTTTAATATTAAGATTATTCTTTTCTCATTTTTATTAAAAATATGTTATAAAAAGTATCTTTGTTTTAAAGAAAAAATCTGTATAAAATGAACTTATTTACTTATTACATTTTATGTAATGAAAAAAAGAATAGGTTGCAAGAAATTAAATATCAATTATACAATATCTTTAATTTGTATTTAAATATTTGTACAAAAATTATAATTTTAATTTTTTTGCAGATAGAATATTCTTTTGTTTTTTCTTAGTATCTGTATTAATTTTTGCTTTAATGTGACTTTTCACTTCATCTTGTAGTTGAGTGAAAAAGGCTGTCGAAGTTTTCGGAGCTTTGAAACTTGATTCATCCATTCTTATAATATTTCGATTTTTACTTAATTTCTTTGCCAATTCTGTCGCCTTTTCTTTCTTATATTTCTTAGCAATACCCGGTTTGATTGCATTCAATTTCTCCTTTTTCTCTATAGCTTGTTGCCGCGCACGTTGTCTCATCTTTTTACGTCTTCGTTCACGTTTCATATCCGTTTTAGTTCTTTCTGCTTTACCAATCAAATCGCCTCGCGGTTTCGCTGAAAAAATAAAAAATATAATTAAATTTTATATAAATATGTATATTTAAATTTATTATTCGATTCTTTTTATTAAACATACCTTTAATTTCTTCTGGAGCTAATAAGGCAGCATCACTCATTCCAATTGGGGCTACTTCTTCCATATTAATTGCAGGCATATTATTAATAATTTTAATCTCTGGTTGAACCTAAAAAAAAAATGCAATATTAATTATTAATAAAAATATAAAAAATTGCCATATAAAAGAATTTTTCTTTTAATAATAGTTATACCTGTTTTGGTGTATAATGGAAATTAGACAAAGCATCTAACTTGGAAAACACGGAATGCATCATTTCGCGAATTTCCGTATGCAATTTTGGTTCTTCTTCTTCTTTTTCAGTATTATCTGGATTTAAAGCTTCCTTCTGTTTGAGATACTCATTTTCATAAACTTGAGATAAACTTTCTTTACTTTTTTCTTGATTCAAAATCAACTTTTTCTTGTATTCTAAAGGAGTTTCAACTGGTTTAAATTTTTTTTGAACGTCATCCCAAGCTTTGTCCTTTATCCTTTGCTTAATTATATCTTCTAATTTAAGTGTTGTTTGTTCAGTAATCACAGGTGGAGGTCTAGTTGTAATATCAAATTCCACGAATTCTTCTAATAAAGAATTCTGTGGTCTATTTGATGCACTAACTTCACCCTTCAATTGCCAAGGTTTCTCTGCAAGAGCTTCTTCTTCTAATTTTCCAATTTTATTTTTTAATCTCTCTTGTCGCATTTCTAAAGAAGATTTAATTTCTACATCAACTTTTTTATTGATATTTTTATTTTCTAAACTATCCGTTTCATCAGAATCATTTGTAAGATTAAATGTAACTTTCTTTTTGGAAGATTTTTTTTCTTCCATTTCATTATCAATATCTATTTCATCATTTGAATCACTATCTAGTGATTCCAGTAATTCATTATCATCTAGTAATTCATTTTCCTCTAATTCTTCATCATTTATTTCTTTATGTTGCATAGAATTATTAGGATTCTCATCTTCACTTTCTGGACTATCAAAAAAGTCGGCATATTTCAATAATTTTGCTTCTTCGGTTTTATCATCATTATCAGAAAGATCATTGAATAAATCTACAGATTCATCATCAGATTTTTCCTCATTTTTTTCATTTTGTTTCTCTTTCTTTTCCTCTTTTGTTAAATATTCGTCTAGTTCTTCTAATTTAAAGAACTTGTCATCTACTATTGATGATTTTTTTTTTCTTTTTCTTACATCCTTCTTTTGTTTTTTTAAATTACTTTTAAATTCCTCATCATCCTCAGATGTTTCTTCTTCTACTATTTTTTCTTCTTTTTCTGATAAATCTTCTTCACTATTATATACAGATTTAGATTTTATTATACTAATTGTCAATTTTTTATTTTCAGCTAAAGATTTAGAAACACCTCCAATTAAGTAATCAAGTTCACCTTCATTCTGCAATTCAATTTGCTGCCAGATTTGTTCTTCATCAAAACCTTCTGTAACAAGTTCTGGTAAAGCATTTGTGTTTCTTTGTGTTTCTAATTTTGTAAAATCATATAAACGCTTTAGAGAATTTTTAAAATCAACAGCAACTTCATTTTGTATGCTATAGATAAAATTATTATTGTTATTATTTTATAATAATATAGGTTAGAATACAAAAATATTGAAAATATATTTACCTTAAAAATTGTTCTGGTTTTTTAGTATTATGATCAATTGTATTTATAACACTATTAAGTATTTCTACATCTGCCATATTATATATTTACATTTATTTTTGAATTGAACAAAAAAATATTTAATTGATAGGTTATGTTCTCCTTTGCGAAGAAGTTAGCATTAATTGTGGTTATGTTATAATATATATATATTTATGGTGTATCAATTATTAATGAATACCATTGATATTTAATTATCTTTCATTGAATATATTATTAATAATTTCTTAATATTTAATTTAGTTAATTTCTTAATATAAAATGAAATATAAACTTAACATTCAAAATAAATATTACTACAAATTAAATCAATTTTGTATTTTGCGTGATAAAATATATATTTATTAATAATTTTAAATTAAAAATATTAGAAAATATATTTATGAAAATAAAAAATTCTTGTTAAGATTTATAAAAATAATAATAAATTTAAATTATTTATTCTCAAAAATATTATTTGAATTCCATTAAAATTTAATAATGAATATAGAATTATAAAATTATAGATTTATATAAAATATTATTTATAATTATTATACTTTTGAAATTTTTTATAACAATAATATAATAAAATACACAGAAATTTAAATTAAAATAATAAAAAATTTTAATTCAAATTTTCAAATCAGCCAATAAAAACTAAATCTAATTTTATTTTCTGTTCATAGATGGCATGATTTGGTCGACAATCTTTGTTAAGTGCTGCCGATCCAACCGGAATAGCGAGGTGGGGTGAGTCCCAGAAGGAACTTCAGAACAGCTTGTGGAAGGGCGGCGGGAACTAAGACGAAGAACCGCTTGGAATTCGAAGCCGCAAACGCATTGTTGCAGACCTCGGTACGGTTCACGTTACCGGCAGTACAAAATTGAAGCGTGCGTTTTTTTCGTATTGTGTGCATGTGTGTTTATTATATTTCATATCAAGTCTAAAGACAAAAACTAAATGCTTTTTTAGTGAATTCAGTGTGTTTAGAAAGTGTGTTTGACATAGTGTTCCTACGGATTCGTCAGGTGTTTTTGCGTTTTGGATAAGTTTCGTATATACGTCGAAAAGGTATGTATTTAAAAAATTATCATCTTTTTACGAAACAATTGATCGTACTGTGTGTCTTATTGAACGATCTATTCCGACATACGTTTGATTTATATTTGTAAGACATATCTTAGAAAGAATAATTTCATATAATGAATGAAAGAAAAAAAGAAAATTTTATAGTTACATGTTAACCAAATTAAGGTTTCGGATTTGTTTATCATCCTTGAACTGTTTAGTCGACACACAGACAGTTTACGCGCGCAAAGGTCGATGGGTCACGTGGGACATTTCATATAAATGATTCAATGATCCGTTTCGTCAAAAAAAATCATCGTATACAAAAATTCTTGTTTATTTAAAGTTTTATTTTCTTTTATCATATCTTTATGAAATGAACTTATTGAATTAATCTATTGCATTATAAAGATTATCCTTTATTTTTTAGAGATTAGCAAAGACGATATCGCAATAATTTTTAAATTTTTTTTTTTGAATATTCTTTTTACATTACTTTTTTGATATATTTATTAATTCTTGTTTATTAATTTAAATATTGTAGAGAATCACCATTATTTTATTTCGTTTTCTTCATATTATTTCATTAAATAACTGATTAAGAATACTAGAAATAAAATGTATAGACTGTTTAAGACAGAACAAAGGATTCGATATCTAAAAATCATGCAAAAATGTTTCATCATTCCATTCGTATTGAACTTCATCTCTCAAAAATTTTTCCTTGTAATTCCATATTAATGATATTGTGATGTATACTATTTATATCATAATTAATATTTTCAAAAGTTTTTTTTTTATATAATTTAATTTAATTTTTTTATTATTTTATTGATATAGATATAATAATATCAAATAATTAAGAACTATTGTTTTGAAATATCTTTTTTATTTAATTTCAATCAATAATTTTACAATTAAAATTAATTGCGATATTTTCACATATCTTCTTCTGTTTCATGAATTTTAAAGTTGAATTTAATTGATTTTATTTTATAATGAAAAACTCGATATTGATTTCTTCCCGAAAATGTCTCTATTACCAATACCTCTGTTCTTTGAAAAGCATTATCACGTGTGCGTTTGTGTACAGTCATTCCGTTACGAGGTCAGAATTCCTCGCGGAGGAGAACTGGTCGTTTGTAAAGGTCGCTCGACGGACAGCTGGAAAACCACGCGCGCGCGCGGACTTGTATTCATAGAAGAGAGTGCAGACCGGTGGAGATTTTCTTTTTCCCCCCATGTCGTCGGAACAAGTTCTCTGTGTTCAAGCGAAACGATCATAACGGGGCGCTGGTGTCGTTGCACGTGAAATTGGAGCGGACTTCGATCCTTTCCCGAACGGTACCCGGCATTTGATCAGCATTAGCCCCTACGTTCCACGAGGAAATAATATTACGCGCGCGCGTTGTCGTACTGCCTCGAGTTTCTAATGAGCCCCTCCAAGCTTCAACACTCGACCATCGGTCCGTTCCTCTAGTCGACGAATACCGTAATTCTCAATGGATGTCGTTTTTTCTTTCTTTCTCACTTCTTCCCTATCATTGCCTCTCTTTCTAAGAGTCGTTTTTCCTGCCTCCTCTCCCTTTATCCCCACCATTAGTTCTTTTTGCGTTCTCTCTACTAGTGGTCCCTTTCCATGAGCGTCTCGCGGCGAAAGTCGTATGCGTGAAGTTAGCGATGGGATTGACCTTTTGTAGGTAAATTTGTTTGGAATGCAATATGGAAAATAGTATTTAGATAGTTAGATATAATTTTAATTTAAAATTAATGTGATGAATTTGTTTTTAATATAATTAAAAATAGAAATATGAAAATATAAAAAATGTAAATATATGTTAGGTTATGTAATCAAATGAATTATAAAAGGAATCATATTATTTAATAGAAGAAGATATTAATAAAAATAGTTTGTAATATTTAGAAGTATTGTTACTTTTGAAAAAAATTGATTTAATTTATTACACAATATAGATTGATAGATGACAAATTTTCAAACAAAATTGTGAAATTTATAAACTATCGATCGAAAAAATTATTAGGTATAAAAAAATATTACTTTCAAAATATTGTATTTGCGTGATGTGATTAAAATAGATTTAAAAATACTTGATTTGAACACTCATTACATGCAAATGTAAGCAAGATTAAATATCATCCAGTTTGTACACTTATTCTTTTGAAAAGAAAGACTCAGTCATTTCAAGGTTATACTTCCTGAATGATCGAATTTCATAAAACATAATTAAATATTTAACATAAAAAAAACGGAATGGAAAATGAAATGTCTTAAGAACAACGATACATGATCATATGAATCATGTGACTTTATATAGGAATTGTTTACAAGCAATGTGTATAATACATTGTTATGTATAATTCTTTCCAAATCAAACAGTAATTTTTACCTTTCAATAATTTCATATATATTACATAATGTATTATATGTAATACATAATGTATTATATAATTAATTTAAACCAATTTTAATTATTAAATCTATATGAAATAAACACGTAAGTATATCATTCCCATCGCTATGCAATGTTAGAATATTACCAACGAAACGTACATTTCTCATACGTGCGCGCGGGCGCACACACATTTTCTGGGGGAGTTGCTGGACCGCTCTAAAAGTCCCCTTTCCTCTCTTTATTTTTTTCGTTCACCGCGTGTAGCAGACGCGAAGAAGAGGAGAAGAGAGAAAGAAAAAGACAAAGAAAAAGATCCTTGGCAAGTCCTGGAACCCAAGACGAGCGAATAACCCAAGACTTCGGTTACATACTTCAAGGCTTAAGGCGTTATTCCTGCGTTCCGTCAATCATGCATTTACGAATAACTATTAGAAAAAAATTTTCGCATGCTATATTATTGTTTCAAATATCGTCATTATTATCAACTTATTTCGAATTGCACGATGGTAGGAGAAATACTATGTAACTAGAGAAAATTAGGAATTTAGGATACACGAATAATGAAATATAGGACAGTTGTGACTTACTTTTTTCAAGCTAATAATATAAATTATATTTTAATTTGTTTTTGAAAATTTTTATAGATAAAATTATATTTTTATATTTCTTTAAATTTTTAAAGTTTTAAAATAAGTTTTCTCTATAAAAAAATAGAATAGAATATAATGTTGTAGTATAATAATTTTGACGTGTATTAGTTCATTCAGATTTAGTGACTTCAATTTATATTATCTTTCATAAATTGTTTTTATTTTTCGTATAGTTGTTTAGTTCAATTTTTTTATTCAAATAATATAAAAACGAGAGATAAATTTTAGTCATATATTTTGAACGACATCTCTCATTGGCGTAATTAGTTGTAAGTTCTCCATACGTGACCCGTCGGAACGCGTTAACAGAATACGATATAAAGGAACAAAGTTTTATCTGGTGGATATACGGGGCGGTTGGACTCTTCTAGTAGATGGTCACGGCGCGAATGGTGAATGTAAAACTACCAGAACGCATGCAGGAATGTAGATTTTTCTTGTCAACTTTCTATACACCTCTGACGTCACTACAGGAATCATTATTCAATACAATAGAAAATGTTTCAAAAATTAAATGATAAATTTTCATTAATTATTAAATTTAGATAAAATTAAAAAATATATATAGGATATTTGTTTTATTTAAATATTTGAAATATTCTTTGAAAAAAAGAATATTATGAAAAAAATATTTAAAATATTTAAAATTTATTTAAAATATATATATAGATTATAAATATAATTCTATTAAAATGTAATAATAAAATAATATTTCGAAATATATTATTATGTGATAATGTAAAAAAATCTTAGTATAAAATCTTAATATAAAAGTAAAAGAAATGATAAAATGATATAGAAAAATAAACAAGTAAATAGATGTCTAAATCGTTTAAGATTCCGTATAATTAATGCAGGAATGACGATAAGATAAAAGAATAAATAGTTTTCAATTGGTTAACTGTAGCATTGCTATCTGTAACCTAGTAGCGTGAAATTATTATTCAATGCTTATTCTTGGTCGTATATTCGAGATAACCTCAACAATGCAAAGAGAATAATGAAAATTATTAAATAGTCATGAATTTTTCTAACTTTCTTATTGCATTTATATATTTTTGCATTCTATTTTTTATTTTTTGAAGAATATTTTTTTCATAATTTAATTAAATTATTATTATTCATTAAATAAGAACGTAAAAATCATTTTGATCAATAACGTCATTCGAATTTCATTAGCCAATATGGCGCAACAGTTCATTATCATTCAATGTATTTTTTTCCATAATCAAATAGAAAAATTATACCAATTGGATTTCATTTCACTTTTCACCGTTCATTTTATTTGATGGTCATTTCTTCTCTAATTTGATGGAATCTTCATGATAGTTAGTAGTTTCTTTATAATATATTCGAAAAACTTGTCTTCGTGTTATCGATAAATAATCTTATTTTATGGTAAACAATTTCATATATTTTTATAATTTTTTATTTTTTATAATTTTAGCAACATAATATTATTTCTTAAATATTCTTAATAGATTTAAATTATATATACATATTGTATATATTATACAAGTATAGTATCTTTCTTTATTGAATAGTATCTTTAATCAGTCTTGAATATCTTGCTTATTTTTAAGAGATATTTTTTTTTTTAAAAATCCAAAAAATTATCAGAGAAAATTTTTTTGATTGTTAAAACAAATATATCTTTATAATACACATTTTTTTTCGCATAGTAGTGATGTAATGATCCGTTTCGATTTCCGCTTGAGAGAATATACAATTTATAATATCTTTATACTCTCTAACGGTGAATTTCATCGATCGTAGCTTTTCCAACGGCACATAGTAAACGTAATGCAGTTTTGTTAAAATTCAATGGTCCGTTAGAGGTGCATAGGTAGACTTAAAAATTTGTCGAGTGAATCAGAGCGACAGAGCGGAAATTGCAATCATTGATTTCATCAAGATTTTCTTGTTTTAATATTCGATTTAGATGAATGATAGAATGTGCGATAAAAAAAATCAATAAGAATACTTACCCCAAAATCTTAATTATTATATCTTAATTAAATTGATTATAATATTGATTATAATTATAATAATGTTAAGCAGAAAAAGAAGGATAAATCAGTTAACTGATTGAAAATAACTCGATTATGTAAAAACTGAACAGGTTGAACAACAATAGGGATATATAACAATCAAATAAAACTATTTGTTAGTTATTATTTCTTTCGAATTATTTATTAGTAAATGCGAAGAATTATAAAGAGAAACTTGAATAATTATTTCATTATATTTCATATTTCATATTATTTAATACTTAAGGAATTGAAAGGAGTTAATTTAGAGAAAAAATGTTAAAATTTGAATTAAGATTATTGTTTATTATTTTATATAGCATATTGTAATAAATATTAATATAGTAATTTAAATTTCTTAAAGAAAGATTTAAAGATAATACTTAAAAGTAAACATAAAACTTGATAAGTTAATTAATTTTGAAGTAAACACTAATAAATTTATATTGAATTAAAGATTAAATTAAATATATTTTATGAGGATTGATGAATATTCAATATATAATTCTCAATAGATTAGAAATAAAAAAATATATATTTACACAATTTATTTACATTTAATTAAAGACATACACTGAAAATGTTATTTAATAAAATTAGTAGATGTTTTTTCTTTTAAAGTCAATAAATATTTTTTTGATGCATAATCACGTAAATTTCTTAATGTCACTAAATCATTCTTTAAAATATCACTTTGTTGTTCAAAATAGTTTATTAGTTTTTTTAACATTTCTGCTGCTTCAAGATGATTTATATGTGTTATTTTTTGATGACATTTATCATTAAAAGTATTTTGAATGTCCTCTTCATCTTCAGTGGACAAACACACAGTTACAATATCATTTTCTAGCACTAATTGATTTGAACTGTCATTAGTAACTGCATCTTCTAATAAGTTTTCACTGCAAAGGGTTAGTCTTATTCCATGACGGGCTTTCCATCTACCTAACCATCCTACACTTGCTGTAAAAGTAGGATCACCACCTAGCTTTTTATTAAGACTAAGAGCCTTTTTTCTAAGAATAGGTCCTGACACTGGTATACCATTTTCACGTTCTTGAATATACCATACATAGAGTGCATCATCTAATGTTACATTCTTTGCTTTTTTTATTGTTCCTCTATTACCTAAACTATCTCTAGAAACCATTTTAGCACAAAATTCTTCAATTTCCTTTCGATTCTTTTTCCAATCAGAAACAGTAGATGTTCCTACCCCTAAATCAACAGCAACACTTTTCATTGGCTCACCTTTATCGATTCTGAATAGAGCTTCTAATTTCTTTTCTATGGTCACAGTAACTTTCTTCCTTTTTCCTGACATGCCTGTAAATGTCAAATATAAAAAATAATATAGTCTGTATAATAGATATTCTAGAAATAATTTAATGATCTTACAATAGATAATATTGACCTACTTGTAATATTCCTGTTTGCTGCATACTAATTAATCACACTAGTATTGTGATGTAATGAAGAATTAATCTGATGGACCAACTATAAATATAATTTTCCAAGAAACAAATATTTTTGAAAGTAAATTTCAATGAAATTAATTGAAAACTAAAATATATAAATTTTTATAATATATATTTTATAATTTTTTTTTAAATTAAAATTGGTAAATTTATATTTTCTTTTTATTCTATTGAATGATTTTCTTATTATTTCTATTTTTTTAAAAAATAAAATTAATGAGAAAATAAATAAATTGTATAACTGAAAAAAAATAAAATAAATTTATCATAAAAAAAAGGTATATTTTTCAATGTTTAAAAAAAAGATTATTTTTTAATCAATGTTTGCTAATGAATTTATATAATTATTAATAAATATTAAAATTATTGTTTTATTGATTAACAAATTTCTCATTTATAGGTTATGTCATCTAACCTTATTATAAATGCTTGAATTAATCAGTCCATGAAAATCAAAGCAAAATGAAACATAATAATCATAAAAACTTACTTTATGCAAGATTTAATTATTTGTATAATGCAAGCACATTTGAATTCCCACTCAAAATATCATTTAGTCATTGATTAAAAGGAAAAGAATATTTCGTTCGCAACGTCCTCTGGTATTCATAATTAAAAATATAGATAAAAAATATATTATTAAAGAGAAAATCAACGAATATTTTAAAATATTGGATGTTTCATACGTAGTCATTCATTCATATGTAGCATTAAAAATTTTTATTATCTTTTAATATTATTATATTTCTTATTATTCGATATATTATTATGATCGTGTCCAATCTGATTTAATTCTAATTTAATTCTAATTTAATTCTAATTTAATTCGCTTTGCACTAGCAAAAAAAGAAAGACTCTCTATATTATGTGACAATTTCTGTTCGAAAAGACAGGTTCATTAAAATTCAAATCAGCCGAGAGATTTGAAAAGTGTCTGAATAATTCCAGTCCATTGTATTCATATACTGGTAACGTAAATTCCATGGTGAATTCGTGCGTCTAAGTAGAGAATGAAAAGTGGCCTAATGTAGCGCGTGGGAGTTTACGCGAAAGTTACAAAAGACACCGCAAACTATGATGTTGCGTAGATAAGAAATGCAACTAACAATGACGCTAGTGATTAAAATGATACATAAGTAGTCATTTTCTGTAAAATAATACGTTTTATTTAGTCACGTTTTCGATAATATATAGATAGGTCGATCCATAAATTATATATATTATATATACATATATAATAAGGTAATTGAGAGATATTTGAGATAATGAGATTAAAAAATACAATGGATGAGTATAAAATATTCCAATATATAAAAATGAACCTGAATAAAATATAAAAATAAATATAAATATATCTTTTTAAAATTCAATTTAGATTATATCTTTATAAAATAAATAAAAATATGAATGTAAATAATGAAATATTTAATTCTTTGATTTTGAAAAATCTTTTTTTTTTTTGTCTTTCAAAATTGAGAATACAGATAATTATATAATACTACTATAATAACTTGTTATTCAATCTATTATATGAAAGTTATAACTTTATAATTATATCTGTAAAGGAAATCGAATGACTCACTATATATAGTACTTTGCAAATATAATTCTTGTATAAAATTCTTTTTCAAAAATAAATTATTATGAATTCCGTTTATTGAATTGAATGTGATTTGCTTTTTTTTTCTCTTTTTTTTTTTTTATTTAATGATGAATATTAGTGATATGATATGAGAAAATAATTACTTTTCATTATGCCATTATTGTAAAATAAAAATAAATATTTTCCTGTGGCGAGATCTTTATTTCTTAATTGAATAAAAATTTGAATGATTATGAAATTCATAATAAATAAATCATTACATATATAAATGTTACAAATTCATATGTGATTTTTTCTTAAAAATTTTCAAATATTATAAAATATAAATACAATATTTTGAATTCATAAATTTCTATGTTTATAATTTTTGAATATTTAAATTTTTAATTTTTTGAATAATATATTTTTAAGTATTTAAATTTTAAAATTCAAATAATTGTATCTCAAGTAAGGAATAAAAATAAAAATGAATCGAAAATAATTTTTCGTGTCATTTCACCAAATATCACGGCGCCATTTTTCAATTATCAAGCTTGTGTATCATAATACCATGAAATTAAAATTAAATGTCTACAATATGTGCAAATTTCCGAGAAACTAATGATGTCATCTGGATTAACAACTGTCGACTGATTAAATAAAGTACAGTTATAGTATAGTACTAGTTGCGATGAAACATTTTACAATTATGTAAATATTAAATACATTTATATTATTTTTGTAATTACTTTATATATAAAAAATTATCTTCTAGTAAAACAAAAAAATTATGTAGTAACTATTTTATGTAAAAGTGATATGAATAATTGTTCGATAACTTTAGTAGTGTGACTAATTAGTGATTTAAATATTAAAAATAATCAGTTACACCGTTTCAAAACTATTATGCAAAGCAAAGCAATCACACTGCATTTTTATTCTCACTTTTAGCTTATCAGTAATTATGTGATTCAATGCTAGTAATATTATATAAGATTGAGATCATAAACGTTATTCCAAGAACTGATTTCATTTCTAAATTAAAATAGAATTATGTCAAATAACATCATTATCTCTCAAAAACAGCTTCAAGTTCTAATTAAGTTATTATTGTTATTCTCTTGAGTAGTAGAGTTAAATAATATTATTTAATTTATTCAAAGATTATGTATTCGACTTGTTTTTTTTATAATATTTTATTGATGTTTTTTTATTGTTCTTATATTTTCAAATATAATATGTAATTTAGTATTTTAAATTCATTCATAGGGTAACAGTATTGTTTTATATACTTCCTATAATAAAAAAGCATTTCCGGTAAGAAACTGTTATACTAACCAGTGAACGAAGGGCACATATATGGTATATTGTAAAAAAAGATTATATTTCTTCCAGTTCGCTGAATTCTTTATTCAGTTAACATTTTATAATCTTGTTATTAATAAAATAGAAATTCATCAAATTTTTTTTCAATCTTACAATATAAATTTTAAATAATATATAATTTCTATGTTAATAATTTTAATATAATCATATCTCTTTAGAGAATAAAAAATATAATAGTATTATTTCTTTATTTCTAATATCTTATATAGCCAAATATATATAGTTAAATCTCTAAAAAGAATATTAAAGTAATTATAAACTTTGATCATTCTTATATCACATACATAATATTATTTGTGATACATATTATTTCAATTCTAGGGATTTTTTTTTTTCTTTCTTCAATAGTTAATCTTAACATAGAACTTACTTATTCTATGAATAAAAAATTGAATATAAGAATATTTTATTAAATAATCTATTATCGATTTTAATAATATTTAATATCGGAATTCATAGTCAAAAAAATATTTAATTGACAATAAGTATTATTGAATAGCAGAAAATTGTTGGAGTGACTCGTTCATATCGGTACTAGTTGATGCCCAAATATAGACATGTCGTCATATCGTTTGAACTTACTAAAGCTTGCCACATCCTTTATTTCTTTTCCCTTTGGCGTATACACGCGTGTAGTACGCCGGATGAATGTTTGCACGAGCTATCAGTGTCAATAGAGCGTTGGTGTCTCTTTTCGAGCTGACATGAGTTGAGACGAGTCTCGATAATAATACGGTTCAGATTTCACCTGGTCTCTTCTGCCATAGTCTTCTCAACCCATCGTTGCATATACCGTATTTCCGGGGCAATTTCGTACTTCCTGGCAATGATCAGCCATGTTCTAAGTTCGTCAAACGCTTTTTCATTTAGTTTGTTTTTTTTTCTTTCTTTCTTTTTTTTTTTTTTTTTTTTTTTTTTTTTTTAATTTTTTTATTTTTTTTTTTTTTT